TCAGACACCCCCCCAGGCCTACCCAGACAAGGACCCAATACCATCAGACACCCTCCCAGGACCCAGACAGGCCCATCAGACACCCCCCCCCGGACCCAGACCAGAACCCAACAGACTGGTCACCATGGGCTGGGACCACAGGTCAGGAGACCAAACCAGGTTCAGCTCAGTGGGTTCAATACCTGTGTCTGTTCTTATTCTTCCTCTTCTTGTGGCTCCCATGGTGGCTGCCCGAGGAGGACGAGGAGGCCGCTTTCTGGGGTTTCAGGTCCTGCAGGGTGGAGTCCACGTCCTCCGTGTCCTCCTGGCTGGGCTCGTTCTCCTGGTTCTGGAGATCCGGGGAGGTGTCGCTCTCGGTGCCGCTGCCGGCTTCGCCTGAGGACAGGATGAGGCGTTCAGAGCCGCTGAGGAGCATCTCCTCCCCAGCAGCTCCTCAGACAGCCCCAAAAGCCACTCACGCTTCTCGTTCATGTGGTCAGGAATCCCGCCCAGCGCGCACACCGCCTGCCAATCACAGCACAGCGTGAGCAGCCGCGCCCCCGCAGACCTCACGGCTCAAAGCAGAGCTTCACACAGAGTTAGAGTTTAACAGGGGAGGAAGCATCCAGCTCATTTTCAGACCCGAGAAGAAAACACAGTAAGGACGCAGCAGAACCGGGTTAAACCCAGAGACTCAGAGACCCAGAGCACTCAGAGACTCAGGGCGTTTGAATAAAGATATCAGGGGAAGTAATGCAAGACAACACAGGGTTTGCTGCGTGTATGAGGGTTTAGAGGAGCTGGAAATGGGTTAGAGCAGCTGAGCGCGAGGCGACTTACTGCGACAGATGTGACAGACGACTTGCTGAACAGACGCTCCGCTTCCTTAAACTTTCGATTCCGTCTGTCCGTCTTACTGTTGGAATTCCTGACCAGAACAAAAAAAAACAATCAATCACCAGGAGCTAACGTGAGAGCCGCTGGACATCAGCAGAACTCAGGAGCCACACACAGGACACAGAAAGGACTCAGGGTGCTATTCACAGGCTCTGGGACTTTTTCTGAACCCTTCAGCTTGTCCTGACTACCAGACATCTTACTTTTGGTTGGTGAGGTATCGATCCCAGCCTCTGATGATGTTGCCGTACATCTGGGTGTCTTCCAGGTAGCTGCCCTCAAATGCATAAATCTGCCTCTCCAGGTTCACCAGGGTCTCCTGTGAGGTGGGACAGAATGCCAATTAATGCCGGCTGTTTTGACTCTTTCTTGCATGTCAGCAGATCATTCCTGCTGCAACATTTTGAGTTTTGCACATTAAAAATGAGGGTTCAATGGATTTGTTACAGACAGACGTATTAACAACCTTCAAACACTAAATCCCGTGTTTTGAAAGTGTTCCTGGTTTTTATACATCAAAAAGACTGCATCAGGTGAGATGCCCTACTTTAAACAGGCAACAAGCCGGTGGGAAACAAGACTGGTCCAGTAATACCGTGACGAATATCGCGAGAACTCTGCCAACCGTAGGCGGCTAACATGTAGCTATGCTAAATTGTTGTCAGAGTGGCTGTTATATCAAATGCAACACAAATAAACAGCGACACAATTAATATTGACCAAGACTAGACCATATTTCCGATCATTTCTGATAAAGCATTATAACTGGGGCTCATATAAAGTGATAGCCGATAGCCAAGTTAGCTTGAGCTCCCGGCTACATAATAGAATAGCAACCGTTAGCTTAGCACAGAGGCCTAGACCGCAACCCACCGTTAACTTTTTAAATAAAGAACCTGACAAAATTCTAAACCCAGTTTCACGCGACTCACGGCGAGCTCCTGTTTCCGCTTCACCAGGTCCGCCAGCTCGCGGCGGGTGTCCGGGATCTGCGGCGGGGTAGCCTTCGCGTGCATCGCCATGATGGATGAACCTCTCCGGTTGCAAGGCGTTGCGCGGCTCTTTCACGGACCTCGGCCGCGCGGCCCCATACGCCAGGGGGCGCTAAAGTCTCGCGATAAGACCCCTCCTAATATCAGGCCCCCCGGTTTCCTTGTGCCCCGGGGAAGCGGCTTGGGGGCTTTCCGGGGGAAGGTTTTTTTTTTTTTCGTCGCTGCGCAGTTGAAAACACGAATGAAATGTTTCAAAAACTCTGCGTTAGTTGATGCTTGTTCTGTTTGCGTAGTTTGGTCTTTTTTTTTTGCTGTAAGGCTGCAGAGGAGAAGGTTTTATTGGGCTATGCTGGTCTGGTTTTTCAGGAGGAAAAGCCACAGCCTCACATCCAGCTTTGACACCAGCAACCAAAGGAACCTCTGGCTTTGCTCCATCTGAGGGGTGGTCCAGGATCAGGGCAGAACCAGGCCTTGCTGGTCCAGGATCAGGGGAGACAGGGCTCTCTGGTCCTGAATCAGAGGCCGTGCTGGCCCAGGATCAGTGCAGCTCCCCCAGCTGTTTTACAGCTGTTCTGCTCTGACAGAAGCTCCTCGGTTTCCACTCTGCTGTTTTGGGTTGAATGAGAGGAAGCCGGCCGGATGGAGAGACGTCCTCTGGGTCTTTGAATCTCTGAGTCCTCTGAGTCTCTGGGTCCTTTGGGTCTCTTCATCTCTGGGTGTCTGAGTCTCCTGGGTCTGAGTCTCTGGGTCTTTGAGTCCTCTGAGTTCTTTGGGTCTCAGAGTCTTTGAGTCCTCTGAGTCCTCTGAGTCTCTGTGTTTTTTAATCCTCTGGGTCTCTGGGTCCTTTGGGTCTCTGGGTCTCAGCTGCTGTCAGAGGAGGATCTGGATTCCTCTGCAGCAGCTGCTTCATCTCGGCTCTGACTCAAAGTCAAACATGTGCTCCCCCCCCCCCCCCCCCCCCCCCCCCCCCCCCCCCCCCCC